CTGTTCCTACTGATGGAAAACACCATTTCAAATTGCCTATGCATCAATCAAATCTTTTAATGTCATAAACTTCCTTATACTCTAATACAGAAAAAGACCTACCTCTAACTTATTTTGTCAAATCAACTGTATTGTTCCCATCTATGGTAGAGGCTTTCTTTTAAAATTACCCAATATTAAGTATAACTACAATGGAGTCATTAAAAAACATGAAATAAAGCCAGAGGTAAAACTTAAATACTGATAGTCATATAATCTGTACATCTTTATTTAGCAGTTAAAAGATGATAGTGTTAAAATGCTATATTTACAAATGTTTGTTTCATTCAGACTGGGAGCACACACATGGGCACCAAACTTTCAATAATGTGTTCTAGATTTATGGAACTTACTGTCTGATAACAAGAGTTCACCTATTTAGATATCATTGTTAGCATCTAATTCTGAATTAGATTTTTATGAATATAAACTAAATGCTCATCACTCTAAAATTTTAATAAGTTTACTGATCCAAAGAGAATCACCCAGGTTATTTTCCTCCTATATATAAACTGCATTGTTGAGCTCTGTAGTTTTAATGTTAAATACAGTTTATTCAAATGACTCTTTGTCACAAATTATAAATCAAAGCATCAGTTAAACAAAAAACTCTAGAATAAACCCAAATAGGTCCATGGATTTGTTAATAAACACATGGAAAGACATCCTAACTTTAGATGAGAAAAAGGCTTCTTAATAGCAAAAATGTGTGATTTATCTTAAAAACATCAGAAATATGTAAGTACTTTAAATACTGCACAAAAGGTTGAAAACCAATCTATGAGAACGTCTTTCACATTTGACGTTGATGGAGTGCAACCTAGGAGGGAAGTCGGGAAAAAGTGTCACTCGTGGAAAGGAACTTCTCCAACTGAATCACTGATTCCCTAAAATCTTGTTAAGAAGTGTGTTGGGCTCCACTCCAACACTTTTGATGCTAGGCTGGTGGACCCAGAAATGTGGCCATCTAACAAGATCCCACAGCATTCCTGTGCTGTTGATCCAGAAACCTCACTTTGAGCAGAGCACCTTTGTTATAGAGGAAAGAGGTGAACTAGGCAGAGGACTGCAGGGACTGGGGC